AACATTATATGCAAAATCACTTTCCGCCCCTCTCATATTCTCGTCTATTCAACCGAAAAGCTATTACTCGATCTCTTCGCCTTCTTCCTCTATCTCTGCGTTAAAATATGCCGCGCTTTCAATGGAGGATGTTCGCTGTTTCATTTATTATCACGCATAAATATTTCGTCTGGACGGTAAATGAAACAACGCCAACTAATTATACGAAGCAACCACTGGCAGCAAGAACAAGCCCGCACGTACAGCACACACGCGACCATATATATTAAATAAATAAAAACAAATAAATAATATTAATATATTAAATAAATGTATATATGTAATATATGTTTTTATTTATATTATATTATTAATTTAAATTATTTAGTAATATTATTTGTTAATATATATAGTCAATGGCCGCGTGTGTGCTGTACGTGCGGGCTTGTTCTTGCTGCCAGTGGAAGCAACGTCTGCAAATGTTACACTATCTGCACTTCGCAGAAACATGAAGTAACAGAGGTGGGAAAAAAACATACCGTGAGGTAGCTCAGGTGCGTGATTGTTAAATTGCTGTTGGGTACGGTTATTGCGTGACTCACGGATATTACACGCACGGACAGAGCGTATGATTATAAACATTTAACCAACAAATATGAAAGAAATTAACAAATTTTTGAAAGTGCCGCCGTATCATACTATCGTGATAGAGAGAATTTCACTATAATGCAACTCGTTTATAGTTGTTGTTCTATGTTTTCCGGCGGTTTTACACACCTCGTGTACATAGTCCTAATCGTCTTCAGGATATTAATAAATAAACCTTACCAAATCCAGATTTACGTTAAAAATTTCAAACAGCAGCATGTTTGTAAAAAAAGTGTATACATTAAGTAAGCATATCACTAAATACATCATGAAACATTTAACCGATGAGAGTCTTTTATGAACTAGCTAAAAACACAAAGTCTGTGCAAAATGTCTGAACTATTGTGAATACAAAATTGCCAACTGCATATATGTACACTGTGTATGAGTTGTAAACTATGTGTAACGCAACAGTTTGTTTACATCAAACGGAACACAAAATACGACGAGTAATTATGCCGTAATCTAATCACAATAAGCCATATTTATGTAAGAATTGCTAGTAATATTTACAATTATTTGAACACGGACTCGCTAAAATTACCGTCGTATTACATCGAATTATTGGCCTGGATCGCTTCGCAGTCACTAATGCACTCATGTGCAAATTCAATCTTTGCCACTGAAACTTAACGTAGTAAGATGACTGTATCACGAACATCCTTATAAACAGCACATAGATTAACGATTTATTATTTTTGAGCATACACTTAGCACTTAGCATGATCTAATAAAGCCAGCTGTTTACGAATGTGCTTTCTAAATCTGTTTTAGCAGTGTAAATAGTGTGATTTTCGCGCTTGATGAAGCAATGCTCAATTGTTATCGGCAATGAAATGAAATATGTGGACGCCCGTGCGTAAGGGTGTGTGTATATGTATATATATATATATATATGTGTGTGTGTATATATATATATATATATATATATATATATATATATATATATATATATATATATATATATATATATACATACATACCCGACCCGTCCCTAACTGTAATTTTTTGATTTGGTAAATAAATAATAATACATTAATACCCCCTTGGTAGCGATAGCCTGTATGGTATAAGTTTATATTAACTTGCGGGGGTACGGAGCCCGGGGAACGTGACCTCGTCCACCTATAGCGTAAATGGGCTACCAGCTTCAAGTGTCGCTGATCCATTATAGGATAAAATAGTACCTTTGGCAGCGCGCACAATGATCATTTTTTATCTTTACTCCTATTTCAAAATGTATGAGTATTCCAGCGAGAATTGGTAAATGGCTGGGTGCACGTTTTGTTGCGGCGGAGCAGACTTCATTTTCCGCTATTTACGATCCAATGTACTATAATTTCCGATAGTACGCTATATTCATGCGCTTGTTTGTCTATGTAAATAACTGTTTACGTTTTAATGAAATTGTGGTACATTTTCGCTAGCGCATACATTTTGCTTAAATCTAGAAGGAAATGTATCAACTATTAACTACACGTAGTGGAAATATTATTAACCCGTGGAGCTACAGAAATCTTAGTAGCCCTAACTATAACACGGTGACGTAGGTTTTATGTATTACTGGAGTCAGCGTTGACGTTTTTGGCAGCGTCATATTAACGTGAATACTGATATGGGTTCGCGTCACCAGCACTCAGTAATTGCTGCTAAGTGCACTAATAGTAATAAACATATTGATATGCGAACGCGGGATCACACCGTGATGGCAAACTCACTAATATGATGGGCGCTCGACTTACCGTAAGCCGTGTTTACAACCCAAATTCTATTCTCAGGTGCGATCACATTAGACGCTCTCCCTTTGATTACCCAAACGCCTCAGCCGACCGTGGCGCACCGAAATAAATCTAGAGAGCTATACTGCAATTCAGAAAGACAGCTCTTGTTTTTTAGATCAATTTCCTTCGACATGGAGCAGCAGCTCTCGTTTCTATACGCAGTCTCGTATATACATGCTGGCCAGTATAATCCTCGCTTCATTCGGTAATTCCTTAATATCGTCCGCTTCCCTCTGAATTCATTGCATCGCCTTTTGCGTTCGTTGAATTAATTCGAGTAAAATCAATTAGCTCTACTCAGCTGTCGACTGTAAATGATACATCTCTGCATCACCAAGAATGATGAAACAAGAAAAATGCTAAATGAAGGCAATATCAATGATATAATTATGCTCTACATGCACAAACTATGGAATCATCGCTACAACTGCCAGTGATTAAATTTCATACTATTACAGTAGCGTTTGTTAAACCCAATTGAAACCTACCATAATCGCTAATCATATGAAGCAATACGTTCATCGTCCCGTAAAGCATTTTATGTGAAATTCAATCGTGTGTAATATATCAGGCATTTTCATCACCCGGGATTTTAACTGAATGGTATATATATAGAACCTGTTGAAAATAGGTTGCACGTACACACACCCTGCTCACTGGACACCCGAGAAATCTTAAACCGCTTTCAGTAATATGCACAATAGAACTGATCTTACTGGTCTACAACTTAGTTATTTAAAAGCTCTGATATATGAATGAATAGGATTAAGCGCTAACAATAAATTTTAATCACATTTAAAAAAGAGACTATTGTGTTTAGCTAGAATTTAATCACGATTATAATCTAAAGTTGCACATTCTCGCAACGCATTGTATTAGATGTAATAGCAGTACTATTATATGATCACAACCTAACGCAATGAGTCGCGAATGCCCTAACGAAGTTTCGCATTTTATATCAGTGATACATCACACTTTTAGCGTATCACTTCACGCATGAACTTCCCAGATTGAAGCCGATTAAAGCACTTTCATTCTCTCAAGCAAGGTAGTGCAGGAGTCCCTTAGCAAATAACCTACTCCTAAACCGTTTATCACTCCCCATTATGCAGTAGGGCAGTGGTATACGTTCTTAACCTCTTTTTTAGTTATGGACCCTTTTGAGAATCTGGTGAAAGCTACCCTCCCCAGGAAAATGCACATAAGGACATAAACAAAAAATTGTACAATATGGGTTTATGGACCCCTTGAAGCCCATCCACGGACCCCAAAGGGGTCCATGGACCACAGGTTAATTAAAAAAAAACCTGCAGTAGGGGAAATATTTGTTCGATACTGCCTTAACAACTCAACCATAGCTATAGATAATGACAGTTTATCATTGCAATTTACTTCGATAATAATGTTCAATGTTTTTCATCTATATTTCACATCTGATGTTGATCTTTTGAGCATGATATTGTAATGAAATGCATGAAAATGTATCAGGTGCATGACAACCTGAATTATAGCAGGTTTTAATTTCAAATGTCAAAAAAGGTTCCAATTTTCTTTCGCAATGTGTCGTCGTAGAAGCAATGCGTGCCCCTGTTACGTGAACGATTTGTGATTTAGCTACGGTTACAGATTTGCGATCTTGCTATGGTTACACAAACGACAAGAATGTGCCCACCCATGCAAGTGTAAAATCTATCCACAACGGTTAATGGCGATAAAATCGATGTATGAACAGAAAAAGATGATAATTATTCTTCGAACGCATAAATAGCTTAGATAACACGTGATTTATACACATTTTACAATTATTGTGTAATGAATTAACGCTTATAAGTGCAATAAATTATAGCTTGTCTTATCGTATAATCTGGATATGGCCTGTCTGTGAAGAATGTCTGTGAAAGAAAGTATGTGATGACAGCTTAGCTATAGGTTTCCCGACACAGCTACTTACATGCAACTATTAACGCTGTGTATTAATTTTCTGTTTGAGGTTTTCTTACAAAGATGCTATTAAAGCAGTAATATTAAGAGTAATGGGATGAGGGTACTTCTTCTGCACAAACGAGAATTTTCTCAGAAAAGCCAACATAACATAACATAACATAACATAAATAACATAACATAACATAACATAACATAACATAACATATTGTGTGTGTGTGTGTGTGTGTGTGTGTGTGTGTGTGTGTGTGTGTGCGTGAGTAATTGCGTGCGTGTGTGTGCATTTGTGTACATGTCCATGATAATAGGCATATAGAACATTACTACTGCAACGTGGTAATGGTTCGTGTTTTCTAATTACATTTCCTATAACCTGTTTAGTCAGATTGCATGCACTTTTAACGCATTTACTATAACAGAATTACATAACAGAATTGTAATGATAGCCCGGCCGTAGGCGTAACTACTGTTAGAAAAAAACACCTCTATAATTGCCAGCGGAACATAATATAATTATTAACATAAATTTCAACGCTTTGTAAGTATTGAAATGAACCGTGGTAATATCATAATTGCATTTTTACTTATCGCGTCTGTTCTTTTTATTTGTAGGCGAGCTCTGCTTGTTGCTATGGGGGATTCGGCTGTGCTTCGTTGTTAGGAAAGCGCCCTCCGAATTTAATGAGAGTAAATTCATCAGCTGGGCGATCTACAACGAGACGCTACTGTCGCTATTCCTCAACATCTCAATGTGAGTATTATTACACAGTATAATAACACAAAGTAGTTACAATGTAAGTATTTGTAATTATGCATTGTAACGCATCCTACACAAGTAGGAAGTAGAATACTATTGAAACTAAAAGTAGCAGTTAGATATATTTTAAGCAACATTTTATTATTATTTATTACACATTACTTATTATTTATTTTTTAATTACTTATTATTATTATTATTTATTAATTATATATTATTAATTTAATTATTATATATTACACATTTTACTAACCGTCGCATGCGTTTATTCAAAGTTCACCTACACTCGTGGCACTTTTTAGTACATCATTCAATGTTCACCTATGCTCTCGTGGTACTTTCTGATACATTATAATTAACATAATACATCGTCACACGGTTAGTACGTTTCATATATTCAGCATACGCAATATATTGTTGCACGTGCAGATATACAAATCTTAAAATATTACGCAAAGTTATGTTAAACGCAATAGTCGTTTGTAGTCATTTGTCTTGAACATTATTTCAAATCTGACATAAGCCAACCGTTTATCAATCACACACTGTCGTGAATAATTACAATGCTTATATAGACTATGTGTACGTACGTCAGCATGGTGAGCATTTCACTGATGGAAATATATGTACGATGATGAATTGATACTGGCGCAATTAGTAGAAATTTAATTAAATCGCGCAGATTCAGTTTTCACCTCGAAGCGTATTTGGCATTTTACCGTTACGGGGGCGACATGGAAACTTTCATAATCACTTTTCGGTTTAGGTTAGATGAGTCCTTTGATAACGTGCTGCGCGCACCGGCAGTTCTCGTGTGCGGTGAGAACGACAGTCAGCGCCATAGTGTCCGGCATCCTTACTGTTGTTAATCGCTCGCTAGATTGCGAAATTGCCGTATTATTGACGACACGCCAATGATGGCTTCTTTATTCGCGGCGGGAAGCACTTGTTTAATATGTGGCTGCTTGCGTGGCGATGTGCTGCGACGCGACGCCTTTCACTTGGTGATACAGCGGTGCGTGTATGAAAGGCGCAGGCGTCGCCTGAGTACAGAATACATTGGCTTCGCGACACGTGTTTTGTGAGATCCGCAGCGCGCGCGTAAGACGAGCCGGTTTACTTAGATATGAAGACTCGTCTGCGAAGCTGCAATCTTCTCTATCTCTTCTTCGTTAAAGTTTATTGTTGACACGAGTGGATGCTATCGGTTATCCACGCGAAGAATTTTCTAGAAAACCAACTTGCGGAAATACTGTGTGCGTTTCTAGGATAGCAGTTATTGGATTATTTAGAGAGAAAAAGAAAGAGAGAGAGAGAGAGAGAGAGAGAGAGAGAGAGAGAAGAGAGTCTTGTTATAAATATTTTTTCCCGTTTTTATTTGATTTTCTTATTATATGAATATTCTAAATTATCTACATCAACCTTTCCGAATTTTTTTCCCGTGAATAAGTAACACAATTACGCAACTAACGCAGTTCAGGTAAATTTGAGTTTTATCTAATCAATTGTCTGTCTCATCTAATCGTTTTGTTATTACATTCAGGATTTTAACATTTCTATTCAACAGGCCAGACGACTCTCCAATTATTGATTTACTGTAGCTGGAATTGCACACTTACGCATACGCCTACACACCCACGCACACACATGCACATACGCACACACGCGCGCACACATGCCCCATGATAGGATAACAATAAACGTTTGTTTGCTTTTATTCAATCCTGATTATATTCCAGTCCTGATTACGTTTGCTCCCCATCGATGCAATTAAGTTTGCACTTATAATCCTCTCAGTATTATTTGGCCTCTCCTTTATTGTTATTGATATATAGTTATTATCTATTTATGTCATGTAAGCTCTTAAGGAAACTTTATGGTGAGTATAGTAGCGAAGCATACGTAGAAGGTGTGAACACATGTTATAGGATTTGTGGTACAGATGTTTGTTATCCTTCATTGACATTTCTAAACCACTATAGTTTATTACATGCACTACGATTTCTCTGTGACGCGGGGATTTGGCAGCTTCTAACCACTTCGTGCGTTACTGACGACCGGAGGTTGATCAATGATACTCAGTTATCTCTTAAACCGTCGCTCGCTATACCGTACCCGCGAGATCAGTATAGACTCAGTAAATACGTTTGCAAGTGCTCTAATCATAGCAAATAGCAGCTATACTTTCTCACGGTCGAATCCCCGCTAGAGCTGAACCTCAAATTCCAGCAAAAGCTTTTAGAATTATAACTCGCCGAACGTGATTAATGAATTGGATTCCAACGATGTGCGAATGATGGTCAAAATTGCACAGCATTGCCGTCCTAACGATGTTGCAGAATGTTTTTGAAACTTAATGAATGACTTATTACATTCGCCGTCATGCACACACCGAACAGCTTGCTAACCAGACCGAGTTGATTTAAGGAGCAGGCGAATTCGAAGCGGCGACGGTTAATGACGAATCGTTTAACGAATTTCCTTCAACGTACGAAATCAATGCTGGCCGAATAGTGGCGTTTCGCGTCTTTCGCGTTTTTTTTCACATTTTTTCACGTCGCCCGCGTGTCTTTTCACAAAGTCAGTTCGTGAGGCTTGCTAAATCAATATCTCGATGCCGCCACTAATTGATGGCGCGTAACTTCGAATGTTTCTGTCTCACAGACGAGCAGCCCGATGGTAACTGCATGAACTCCGTAAACGCCTAGCCGTAAATACCTCCGCATATAACGTGGCAATCGGCGGTGTGTAGGAGGCCTACGCGTGTGGGAGTATGGTGTACGATTTCTCAAATTAGTCGAACCATTTGTAGATTTGCAAACTAACTACATGATATTTCGCAAACCACATAATCATTACAAATTACAACTGTATGTGTGCGCGTGTGTGCGTGCGTGTGTGCATGTGTATGTGTGTGTGCGTGTGTATGTGTGTGCATGTGTGTGTGCGTGTGTGCATGTGTATGTGTGTGTGCGTGTGTGTCTGGGGGGGGGGACATGCGTGTGTGGGAGGCCATGCAAGCTCACCGACCACTGCCTCCGCAACGAGGAGTATAATGTAATGGCTAGCGGACAGCTTAACGTTTCTGTTAGATTAATTTGCGCGTACTGCTTTTCTCCATTAGGTTGTTTTTGCAATCTCCGGCCAATCCAGACCTTCTCTACATGATATTATTTGTACACAGTCAGCTGACGACCACAGTTGTGTTATGCCTTCTCTTTGGTAGTAAGGTAAGTCTCTATATATATACTACTAGTGTCTACTATATGTCTAGATATACTACTCAGCCGATGTTGACGTGTGCTAGATATGCGCAGGGGTGAATAATGACAAATTATTATTGTCGTTATTCATGGAATTATGTGAGTATTATTGCCATGACGAATAGTTGTCATTATTCACCCCTGATTTGCATGGGCATTTTTTGTTGTGGCAGGTACCACTGCAACTGCAATACATTTGAATGTTGCGTTCGATATGTTACGATTAGTGTCTGTAAAAAACACATTCACATCAATATGTATCATTAAAGATAATAGCATCTGTTGTATTAATTAATGTTTCTAAGGGTTAATGTTTATAATTGTAGATGACGATGCCCCTTCTTATATACTTCGATTACATATACTCGATAGCCTTAACATCAATATATCGATCTCGCCAATTTAAATAATGACTGCTGATATGTGCATATATAAGAATGTAATTACATACGATCCTAACATCATGTTGCTAGTAACATGAAACATCCAACTTTTATTGCAATGCTATATTTCAATGACCGTACCCCAAGCATCGGTTTGCCATGTTGCGGTTGAGTTATTAGGGTTAAAATGAAAATAAATGAACAGCGGTCGCACACGTAAACCTAACTGCTGATATTCGCGTGAGACATCTCCCGCGTTTACTCCGCCGTAATTACTCTGCGGTAGTTAATCTAAGTCGCTAAATCGAATTCTACTAGATTTATAAGGCTGCCAAAGAATTCATTATAGATATCCATATCGCCAGCGAGTGCTTGCTTGCTCGCGTCCGTGTGGAATTTGATTGATGTTTTGGAACATGCGCACCGCAGCGATGCAGCGCTATACGCTACCGCCTATGAGTCTAGTTTGCTATGTAACGGCTGAGTAGGGAAATCGCTGGTATTGTATCGCTAAAGATTTTCTCGCGTGATTCTTAATTCTCGATTAATCTTCTCAAACAGCGACGCGCTCACTTTCGGCTTTAGAAGAATTTATCATGATTCTTTCCTATTCTAATTATTAGCTATCAAAGGACCGCAGTGGCGGGCGGTATGTCCGTTCACAATATCTCCTGTCCAAATGAGTGCATCTCGAATATTATAAGCGGCCCATACACGTTCAATATAATTGACAATAATATTGTCAATAATGAAAATTGACAATATTATTGATCGTTAGTGCATGAGTAATATTGAAGCAAAATGTTGACTTGCGCAATATCATGACGGAATCAAAACTCGGTAGATATTTTCATTGAAAGTTGCGAAATTTTATTGTGTTGTTGGTGATGCATAATCAGAATATTGTGCAATATCTCATTGTGAAGTCAGGCAGCAAAGAGAAAAAAAATGTCCTCCCAAGAGGAGGAAGAGGAAAGAAGGTTTATTCTAGAATGTATAGAACTATACCGGGAACTGCCAGCTCTTTAGAAAGTAAAAAAAAACGCTGATTACAGCAACCGCGGTAAAAAGGATCAAGCATATGAGAAACTTCTTGCAAAGTATCGGGAGGGATATGACAATTTAACTAAAGAAGATGTCAAGAAGAAGTTTAGCGCCCTTCGTCCGAACAGAAAGGAGTCGAAAAAATTGAACGATTCTGATAAATCTGGTGCAGGGACAAATGAAGTATATGAACCAACCATGTGGTATTTCGAAGCGATGTTCTGTTCACCTTCAGCATCAGAGCACAAATGACGATAATATTTCACAATATTATTGTGGCGTTAGTGGCCAACTGAATTTAATTTCAATAATATTGTACTAATATTATTGTCAATTATATTGATCGTATATGGGATTTTTTTCCGCCATTACATTTACGAGTGCATGACTTTTTAACGGCCGGCTGATCTGTAGTTATCATTTCCGTGACGATAGATAATGTCACACACGCACGTGGACTCCGCTGTGTGACACCGATGAAATTAGCAGAACTAGCTACCGGCACGTACATAAGCAAGTCTGCATCAAAATTCCCATGAATCCGGGTTAATGGAAAAAGTTCTATTCAATTGATTAGGTGATGTGGAGATGGCTTACGGGTACTGCAGTCGATAGATTATGACGTTTTATTATTATTATTTTTATTATTATTATTATTATTGCGATGCACTATCGGTGCCTATATCTGTCTATATATCGCGCCCAAACTAATTCAAGGTAACATACGTGCAGGCATTAAGTGAAAATGCAGGATAGCACACTTATATACTAAACACTTGAACAAGAGTATTGAATTTAAATTGCGAATTTCTCACTACTTAGAATTATAGTTCTGAAAGGAGTATGAACAAGATTAATGTAATCTGACTATGGAAATAATGAGGTTATGATGATTAAAAATACTGCGTTACAATTATGACGATAAAGAGTAATTGCATTTTGCGACAAAATGCTTGTGTTCAACAGAACTAGCCGGCACCGCAATGCAACCGTGGCAACTTTACTTCAGGTGAGTAGGATAAAAAGTACTTTACAGCTTTTATAGACTTAAAGCTTTATAGAAAAAATAAACCCGTATAATGCTGATTGAGGTTGTTAACGCTCTAACGAAAAACGCGTATATGCTTAGAAATTTATATTCTTTCCTATCCTTCCTCGAGTGTTGCTATTTTGCTGCGTCATCCTGACTACATGTAATATTGACATAGTTTCAGGTATACCAATGACTGCATAAAATAGATAGCTTACACGTTGTGCAAATGAAATTTGCACAAATGAAATTAGAAAGTTTCTAGATATATACGTCAGGGCGAAATCATAACCGCTTCGATTTTCGGTTAAAACGGTCTTATCTCTTAAAAACTGCTAATAATGCTAATATTGTATTATCAGTATTATTATGGTATTCGAATTCATTCTTGATAAATATTGCGTGGTCGTACACAGGGGGTAAGTGGCTACGTGGCTGTACATACAGGGATAAAATATAGCCACATTGTCCGGTTTCTATGTATCTATCTATACTATAATTTGGCTAATGCTTGTGTGTGTGTGTGTGTGTTTTTGTGTCCTCGCTTTTCGCCCTGAATTTGTCACATCAATCGCGCTAACTGAAGATATATACCAGATCACCACGTCTGGGAGATGGTTCTGGCAGAAAAAAACAATTTAAAAGTCTTATAGTATCAAGTATTACACAATCACAAATTCGAAAAAATGCTTTGCGTCAATAGATGGCACTCCGCGATTACACGCAGATCCACAGTCACATACTGGGATACTTAACTTGCCGTCTCTTGACTGCCGAGCCGTATGAGCATATTCAGAATCACCACGTCTGGGAGATGGTTCTGGCTCAAACAAAAATCTATTCCTCAATAGATGGTGCTACGTCTCAGATCCCCCCTCCCTACTGCAGATTCCCCCCTGCTCACTCTGCTTTGACGTACACCGTACTGACACAGTAGTCAGTGGCCAGTAGCTGTGCCAGTGTTCTGTTGTACCCAGTGCAGTGGTTTTCTTTTCAGTTACATGAAATATTTAACTTTAACTGTGTCACTTACATGGAGTTTATATTTAAAGATAACATTTGCTGGTTCTACGGGTATACTTTCTGCTAGTATATATAAAGTTGTTCAGCCGAATTAGTTCGTACTCGCATAACTAGAGAACTCCGCAGCCTAGAGAAAAACTAAAGATATTTTCAGAATCAGCACGTCTGGGAGGTGGTTCTGGCTGAAACAAAAATGTAAAAAAGTTTAAAAATTTAAAATTCAAAAAAATTGTATTCATCAATAGATGGCGGTACGTACAGATTAACATCACGTACGTGTGCACGTGTGTACGTACGTGGGTTTACGCTTAATGGCGCAGTGGCCTAATCGCTAGAATAACCGTGTCCTACACCGGCATTCCGGGTTCGAGTCCCAGCTGGGGAACTTATTTTCCCATTTTCTTCCTTTTTTCCCTCTTTACCTACCTCTTTATTATGTATTATTTTTAGTTTCTTACTTTTTAATTTTTATTTCTTATATTTAATGTATTTTATCTTTTGATTTCTTATTATTTTTTACTGTTTGGGATGGGATGGGATGGCATGCGATGGCATGGGATGGGATGGCATGGCATGGCATGGGATGGGATGGGATGCGATGGGATGGGATGGGATGGGATGGGGTGCGATGGGATGGGGTGCGATGCTATGGCATGGCATGGCATGGCATGGCATGTTATGGGATGGCATGAGATGCGATGAGATGGGATGGGATGGAATGGGATATGGGATGGGATGGGATGGGATGCGGTGGGATGGAATGGCATGGAAGGGGATGGATGGATGCATGCATGGATGGATGGATGCATGGATGGATGCATGGATAGATAGATAGTTAGATATTTTCCTTTTTACCAAGCGGTCACCAACTGAGTAACGCCACTGATTACCCAGAGCAACGCCGGGTATCCCGCTAGTAATATATAATAGTAGAAATCCTGTCTAGCATTGCGCCTAACGCCATCAACACCGCCGTTTCAGCACCACCAATAACAACAACAAAAACTAAAACAGCAACACATTTTAAGACATCATGAGTCAAAAATGGCGTTTAGCTTTTAAAGTAAACTGCTGTGAAAAATATATGACATTTAAAACTTATGGCAGTCATAAACATCCACGATGTTTCTATAACAACGTCCTTGATCTCCTCGCCTTCGTTTCGAATCCCTGTAGACCGATGGGAGAATAGAACGCTATAACCAACACAGTGCACAGACGCCGTAGTGAGTGGTGCATATATAGTTTTCCCGCGCGATATATCATCGAAAGTTAAAGGACGACGAACACGTGAGGTTCTATACAACTACACTGTGCACACATTATATTTTACTTTTATATGACGTTCAGTCCGTTGGGAGATACGCGTAAGCTGTAACCCAAGAAATGAAACATTATGCAATCCAAACACGTACCAGTCGTAGAGGTTAGCTGGTAAACCACAATGTAAATGGACACACAGAAATGGGGTGTCACGAAAACTATCA